CCAAGACTCACTTACAGGCACAGATACATCTACAGTACAGGGAGATGAATACATGATTGTAGCTAGAGCATTTGTGTTGCTTGGGCTAATTCCCTGGGTGACTGAATAGAGACTGTGGCGTTTGGGGTCATGATGACTGGTCACCATGGTTGCGCCCGAACCATGGGAGTCTTCAGTACATTATATATATAGTTCCACTTTGGGAAAAAATTAGCCTAAATGTGGGATTGAGTAGTTCATGTTATGCTTGCATATTCTGAGCAAATGACAGATTTTGAGATAAAGTAAAGGTTATGTGATTCTGACCTTGTTTAAATGCCTGGTTTCTTAAACCCAACAGTGTGCATCTGTTTTATGGGGTGGAGGTCTGTGAGAGTGGGAGGTGCTGCTTCAAGCCCTGTGAGCTCCACAGCATGAGCAACAAGGTTGTTTTCTTAAAAAACTGAAAAACAAACCTCTGGCTTTGTTGGTGCTGAGGTTGACATTTTTGAAGCAACACAGGGGACTCTTAAACCCAATGATTTATGTTTAGACCTTTGGTAGAGGGCAAGGAACATGCAGTATCCACCCTGACTGTGGCAGGTGTGGGCTGAAGGCTGCTACACTATGGTCATCACAACCAGTGATGAGGAGGGCAGGACGGCACTAACATTAAGGCAACCATAGACCCACAGGTGATTTTAGCAAGCAGCATGCGGGAATGTATTGACATTTACATTTAATTTACAAGATGAATATAAAATTATGTGGCTAATTTAATGAGATAACAAAAACAGTTACATTTTGGGAAAATACATCTTCATAATGCAACATTACTAATCTTTATGAACTATGATATTCAGCAGGTGTTATTATTACAGATGAATCAATTTCTATCCTTTTTTGTGCTCAAAGTGAACAATAAAGTGGCCATTTGGATGTAGTTTTACCATGCACTACTGTGTGTAGCTCTATGGGATAGTATTTTGTATATCTTTATGATGGATAATGAATATGATCTTCCATAATGGCACATTTACCCAAAATTCAACACAGCATGACAACAACTTCACATCCTTTATAAACATCAGTCTTCAGTCAGGCTAGCAGCCCTGTGAAGCTGTAGCTACTGCACTGACCTATATGCTAATGTCTGCATGCTAACATACCTGCTAATACTATTTACCATGGTCACAATCTTAGCTTAGCATGTTAGCAACATGTTTCCTAATTAGCATTAAATACAACATATAGCTGAGACTGATGATAACATCATTAGTATTTTTATTTTCATGGCAATCTATAGCTATTGAGGTATTTCAGTTTGGACCAAAGTGGTGGGCTGCCAGAGGCTGATATTTGAGTTTCTAAAGCTATGACACTAGTGTGGCCACAAAATACAAGAAGAAGAAGAATTGCTGCACTGTTGATTTGTGTAGAGTTTTGCGGTTTACACTCCATTGTTCACATTGTCCACTGTAGGGATAGTTCAGTGTGACCTATAAGGTCAGTGAAAGAAGGTCAAGGTTCACTCTTCTGGCCACTGGGGCAAAAGTTCAAAATAGTAAAAGTCTAAAAAGAAAGCTGACCACACACTTGTTGAAAAGCATTGTAGGAATAACCCCTGATTTACTGCTCGTCCGTTGAAAGAATCCCGCGGCACCTGGATGCTTCTGGCTGACATCATGTAGAGGTAAATATTAGCATACTGTGAGATCAGAATCCAGCAAGAGGGACATAAATATTTCGCATTATGAGGATACTCTATTAAAAAAGACAAAAGAAAAGCACTACATGCAAGTTATTTAGTTTTTAACTTGCCATTCTAAAGTTGGCACTGAAGGATTAATAGATCACAAGTATTCTGGGTGCTTTCTGGCAGGTCTAAATTCCACAGCTCTCTGTCCCCATGGGTGACATGGACACTTTCAGATGTTTACTCCT